GGAACTTTCATGTAAATATCTACATCGAGTAAACCATACAAATACGTAGTTACTATATCTATGAGATACATCTCAAGGGTAGCATAAACTGCCATTCCAATAATATATCGGAATGTAATTGGATCCATGACTAGAAAATATATAGATTTATAATTTATGCCAAATCGTTGAGTAAATCCTTTAGCAACAAGACAAGCTTTATAGCGAAATAATTTGATCTTTAGCATCTTGCTTGCATATTAATATCATCTTATATTTCACAAGGCGAGAAGTAAGACTATCCACAATTGGACCAAAGACTTTCTTCTTATGCAAAGAAATATCACAATCACCTTATGTTATAGCTTTTTTCTTTCATAGTTGCTTATATGGTCCATGACTCCTTTCAATTGTTGATGTTTTAACTTGAAGTATATTTGTTAGTGGTATTGCAATACAAGCACGCTCATTTTGAGCCTCATTAATTGAAATTCTTGTAATCTGAGGCACATCATTGAAGTCATGTGGTGTTTCATTTGCAATCCGTTTTAAATACAAAATCTTGGTAACTTTACTTTCAACCAAAGATGTTTTAGGATCATGATTTATTGTAAATGCTTCTAGTGCTCCAAATGCAAGTATTATATTTTTTTATTGACTAAATACTCCTCTTAGAAGAGATGGAAATATGTTCTCTTCAAAATGGCAATTATGAAAATATGCATGTAATAATGTGCCAGTTAATGGGTCAATTATACGAATAATATCTAGTGAATCAAAACCAACATATATGCCTTCTCGTCGATGTGCTTCAATGGTATGCCATTGATGTTTTGGTATTGGAATCCAAGTATGGCAATCAAATATCCGTAGGTAAGATACATTTGGAACACCACCTAAAATGAGTTCTTATGGTGTAATAATTTCAAGAGAAGAAAGACAGTGGCATGTTAATGTTGCAACATGTAAAACTACATGACTCCACATAGATGCAGGTAAAATTGCATGAAGAAGGAGTGGCTAGGTAATGAATTACATATGCTTTATAAATGACTCTGCAAGTCCATTTTGAGCATATTCATATGGAATACAATATGTCAATTCAATCCCTATTATAGTACAATAGTCTTCAAAGGACTTTGATGCAAATTCTTTTGCATTATCCATATATAACATTTTGATAGGATAATCAAGATAATGTACTCAAAAATAAATAAGCATAGATATAATATTAGAAAATATCATATTTTGAGATGTTAATAATGAAACATGTGATTGTTTGCTTGATGCAAAAGATCAAAAAATAACAAAATGGTCTAAATATTGGATTAATAGGACCACAAATATTACCATGCAACCTTTTAAGCATTGGTGGTAATTCTTGTGGAAGTTTCCAAATTGAAAGCCGAACAATCATCTTGCCTTGCACACATGCATGACATAATTCTGTAGAATTTGCATTTGCATATCGTAAATTATGTTCAATTATATATGAAATTATCTTCTAAAATAATGTAGATCTTAGATGTCCTAATAGTCCATGCCAAAGAAAAATGTAACTCTCTATTATAGATGATACAAAATTAAATATAATAGGAAGTTGGATTGCAATCCGATATAAATCATTTGTCTCAGTTAAGACTTTTTTTACAACTTTATGGTTCTATTCAAGAACCAAAACCTCTTGCTTATCTAGAATTAGAGTTGAGAGGTGATAACCATTGGCATACACATCTCAATAGCTGATGAAACTTCAAGGTGCTGAGGGTGCAAAAATTACATGTTTACATTTTATGATAGAGCCTGCATGCAATTTTATCATTATTATTCCCTCTTGGAAATGAAACGCATTTGTTCCAGCCATAGTCATCAAATTTCTAGTTTGCCAAGTTGAAGATTTTTCAATTAAAAATATCTATGTCATAGGATAGTATGTGTTGTTATAGAATCAATGAGCGTATCATTTGATTCATAATTAGAGGTTTTCTCATTCATATAAGTTTCCAAATCATCAACACCAATTGAATCCATTGATGCATCTATAGTATAAACTTCACAAGCCTTAGCTTGAAGTTTCTTATTTTCTTGGAACATTTTAACAAAGCATTTTGAAGTATGACATGCATGTGTCAAATGTCCAATCATTTGAGATTTATGGCAAGAACGCATCTCCAATTTTTATTTTCTAGTATAATTAGTTGTAGAATATTTATTCTTTCTATATGGATGGAAATGGTCACGAACATGATTGACCTGGTGTTTATGAGCATTTTTTTCATGTTTATGTAATTGTTTCTTAGACTTTAGAATATTAAGTGCATGAGATTTTGGAACCACGGTTCCAATTGGATGAGCTTCTGTATTACATAAAAGTAGCTCGTTTTGTTTCTCTACAAGAAGTAGATAGGACATGAGATCAGGATGACTTTGAAATTTCATATTCCTATATTGTTGTGCAAACACATCACATACGGGAAGAAATGTAGAGAGATTTTTCTCAATCATATCTTCTTCAAAGATGCTTTATCCACATAATTGTAGTTGTGAGACAATACAATACATTTTACTATTCAAAGCATATAAATTTGGAAAATCCAAGACAAATAAATGTGTCCAATCATAACATACACGTGGAAGGAAAATAGTCTTTTGATGTTTAAATTTAGATTTAAGATTTTCCAAGAGCTTGGTTGAATCTTCTATTTCTAAATACTGATGTTGTAATGCAAGTACAAGATGTTGACAAAGGAGAAGAAGTGCTTTCCAACGGATAGCAATAGGAATTGAAGTACTTATAGTAGAAGATTCTTCAAATGAGATTCATCAAATAGTTGTTATGCAAATAAATTTGCTTTTGCCATTTTTGCCCATAATAGGTAATTGTTTCCATCAATAGCGAATCGTGGAAATAAAAGAGTTTGAAAATGTTGGGATGCAATGGTGATAGTTGAAAACATAGCAGAGATAGTTGAGGATGTTGAAGCATTCATTATAAATAAATCTGTGAACAAAAAAATATCAATTCAAGTAGAAAAAGTTTTAGTAAAATATATCTTAGAATGTAAAGCCAAATAGAATGATAAAGTTAAAACTTGAAATCAAAAATGTTAAAAAAATTAAGATTTTTTTTTTTTTTTTTTGTTTTTCACAAAAATAAAGATTTGTGGTGGATTGCAAAAAGATGCGTCAAAGCACGGCAGTTTAGTGGCAAGGTGCGGCAATTTGGCGGCAATCAATGATAGTTGGTGGCAACAACAGTGACACAAGACAACAATAGCAATAGCAGCACAATAACAACAGCAGCAACAGAGGACAGCAACAATAGTAATAGAGGACAACAACAACAGTACAAGGAGGGAAAAAAACAATTAAGAAAAAATGAAAGAAAAATGCACATAAGTTTTTAAGAACTAAGAACCAAGACTAGAGTATAAAAGCAATTGTGTTGATAAGGTATTGTGAATGTTTTAGAAAAAGAGAGACAAAAGTAGCTAGAAGTAATATATTTACATATATAAACACACACACAAGAAGTGAGTTTATTGATAGGATTATCTCCTTTATACAAAGAGAAGGAGAGAAATTAAACAATGTCTCTCCACTACATTCCAAACATTGTAGCTACAGTAAATATTATAGACTATAGTAAATAGCATGGAGAGCAACGGCTACATTTAATGCTCTCAATAGTAACAATCAATAAGCTCAAGGACTTTTACCAATATAAAAAAAATAAAAAAAATAAAAAAAAAAAATAAAAAAACAAGTATAAAGATTTTTTAATATGTATAAATTTGGCTATGGATAGATAGATGGATATATTTGTTAAGAAAAACATTTCTTTAAATGGTTAAAAGTGGAAAGAAAAATATTAACTAAAAGTCAAAAATAAGTTATAACCATATTTCTAAAGTATTATATTGTTTTCATAAGAGACTATAAATATGAAATACAAAAATTAACCAAAAAGAATCATTTTAGTTTTTTTTTTTTTAAATTATAGGAGATTCAAATTCAAATACTATGTTATAAAGTTTACAAATAATAATAAAGATTGTCTTGAAATAGAATAAAACTTCTTAATATTAGCCCAAATTATAATTCACAATACAAAAAGCATCACTAGGATACAAAACATAATGACACAAAAAGAATTAATGAGGGTGATTAAGAGAATAAACAATTCCATGATTGTAAAGTAATTTACATGGAAAGGTCTAGAAATGGCAGAAAACTAGAAATGCTTGAAAAGTGATTTGACCATTTGGTTCATTCTTTCCGACCATTCTAGTGGCTACAAGTGCACACTAGATTCATGGCACGGTTGGAGAGGACTCCGAAGTTTCCAGTGCATCCTTCCTTTTTTGAAATGGCGTCGAAGTGAAATTCAAGGATCAGGGATTGAGCACAAGAACACATGCTTACAACTTGCACGTTCACTGCAAGCTTGAGTTGAGAATGCACCAAAATACTCATGCACGCAGTTGTTACTGCTGACAAAATCTGAATACACTCACCTTGACTTCATATCCTTAGCATCAATTTCCCCCTTCTTACATGGCTTAGGTTTCTTTGTGGTAAAGGCCGAATCATGTAGTCCTGCTTATGCTGCTCGTGCAACTCCAGCTTTACATAGGCACTAGTGCACTATGAAGTTATGAGGTTAGTTAATCTAGACGAGTAGCATAGATTAACACTACATGAACACACTTAATAGGTTGATTTTGATGTTTTGTCAGTGAAGCCATTCGATAATGAAAGATAGAATAGGGCCCAGGAGAATTTTTATAGATAGACATTGCAGTGGGTTGCAGTTTGGCATTGAGATTCAACCTCACCTGACTTATTGGAGCATGAACATCAACACATAAAAAATGGAATGACTGATTGTCCTTCGATTGAAACATGATCAGTCATTGTCATTAACCATGCTAACACTTAACACTAAAACCTCCTTCAAAAAGTTCGCTACACAAATATCACACGACATCCAATTATATTGACAGAGTTGGAGGTAGAGGTATACTTAACAGCATAAATATTTATAACGCATAAGAAAATAACATCTATTTAAATTTAATCTATAAGCAAATGTGTAACCATGTAATTTACAAATTTCTCATTAGGAAGCCTAAATACATTGCTAAATCATACCAACGTAGACTAATAACTCACTCGGATGCGCACCGGACGGCAGCAACTCGCCTTCCAAGATAAGGTAAAATCGTCAGATTTTAGACTGCGCAAAGCTCTTACCATAGGATCTGATGTGGTCACTCCACACATGAATCAAAACGGTACTCTTGGCACTGCCCATGACTGCAAATGAATACCTTCCCGTTTCTTCAAGTATAATATCCAGAGATCCTCGCCCATTCCCTACTCTTACAGGTCGAAACGCCATAGCCGGCCGTTTACAAAGATAAACCTGTAACAAACAGCATTCTAAAAGCCTCTATATAGCGATTATACCAAAAAAGTTGTCTCTAGGAAGTTCCTAGATTAACACTAAAGCAATCCAGAACCAAACTGTGCAACAGCCTTGGGTAGATATTCTTTACGCAAAAGGGTTAAGCAAAGCAAACAACTAAAACAAAGTGCATACCTCCAAAAAACTGCTCCATCCCTCCATTGTTCCAGTAAGATATGATTCCCACGACAATCGGTCAGATACATTCACGTACTATACTTACTGAAACGAATCGGTAAGGCTGCACAGAACCGCTTAATGATGCCCCACTTTACTCCTGCGGCTGCGTCCCACCTAGGAGGGAAAAATAGGACGGGAACTTCCAGCGAATTGGCACAATAATAGAAGAAGCTGACCAGCATTATGAGCAAAGATCAACTTTACTGCAAATTCACCGCCCCAAGTAACTCCCAAAAAACCAGCAGCAGGCAGCGCAGCAGTCCCAAGATCAGCAGCCACCAGCCAACACAGCTCAGGTGCCACACCAGAAATATGGCGTAATCCCACGACCCCACTCGCACTACCACAGTATCGAGAGAATGTGAACAAATCAAACCTTACCGCGTCAGACATTGTATCACGGAATCTGCCGATATTCCTGACCTTGATGTCTCTTATAAATTTAGTCGCCTAAACTTTCTTTAGAATAGAAAAATAGAAGCTAGTTTCACTCTAACATCACTTCCAAGTCTTTGAAACACAAGTGAAAATGTTGCCATAATTTGATGCTGGAAATGTAAGTTTGTCTAATTTATGTCCAACAATGCCAGATTCCTATCCAAAACACTCTTTTACTATGTTCACTAGTGCATACTGAGAAAAGCATATGAACCAGGTCGACAAACTAACCAGCCAAACAAATCCACAACGGCGAAACTTAAAGTTGCTACTCCCTCTCACAGTCTGCACTCCTCAGTCAGCTGCTTGTCATGCATAGCCAACTCTAATCACTCCATCACTTCCCAAGTGCTTGACCTCTGTATACCACTGTAACTGCAGTTCAACACACGAGCAAACGTCAATACAAGTGTCATATACTTCGAATTTCCCCAAGATGAATTTCCACAGAAGTACAAGAAGACTTCAAAACCTTAATACCGGACTGAAAAAAATAGGGTTCAGTGCTAAACACGAGCATGTTCAATGCACACCTTTAAATTAAACTCAGGTAATCCGAAACCAATGCAGCAGCGCTCAACGATCTGATTAAGCAAGAGTTCCAGTTACTTACTAAATTGCTCATCCTACGTGATCTAGGACACACATATGTATGCCTAAGGGCCATAATCTACATCTCTTACGGTGGAAAAGCCTCTGCAACTCTATTCTACCGTGCATAGTATAAATCCCTCACCACAAACATTCTCTATGTATGTATGTAAGAGAACCGACAAGGAACAACACTGCAGCACACGGGGAAAAAGAAAATTAGTCCATGGACGGAGTACCTTGTCATCAAGCTCCATCAGACTGAACTGGCGAAACACTGCGAGGAACATCAGGTGAACGACTGGGGCGACGCTGCTCCGGAGACATGCTACCCTGAATTGGTGATGGTGAGCGACTTCGAACTCCTGGTGAAGCCGACACTTGGCGAGGAGGAGAAGCTTTGTGATCAGGAGATTCACTACCCCTGATTATGACACAATATAATAATGACTCTGAGATTCTTATATACGTTTTACGAAAGCAGCCTAGCTTCCGTAACACAGGATTACCGATAATAACAGAATCAGAGCCTGACCAGCAACCGCGTTACGTCTTTTGATGTAATCGTTTGAAGAAAGATAGCCAGAATTGAACAACTCTGCACTGAGATGGCGTAAAAAAGCTAAGAATATATCGGCTCGGCAATGAACTGGAGAGAAAATTCACCTGGAAGGATCCATGGAAGACATATTCTGAGTCCTTGCATCCGCTTCCTTCATAGGCTCTTCGATTTCTGACCGCTTTTGAGGGCTGCGACTCAAGCTTCGGCTGGGACTGCGACTAACAGACCTGTTCCTTTCAGGACTCCTACGCTGTATCCTTCCTGAACCACGTCCTCTGCTTGGGCTGTAGTAGAATGACTCACATCAGTTTACCCTGATCGGAATTGATGCTCAAAGACAAAACCTGTTCAATTAAGACAATTTAAAACGTAGAGTTTCGCACTTCATTCATACCTGTCACTAGCACCAGGTGAATCGTTCGGTTTATCAGATTCGCTGCGAGACGATCGCTTTACGTCCCTATCCGCGCGACCTCGACTGTGGCTACGACTGCGACTAATGCTACGAGAAGCGCTGCGACGCCTACTGTCACGACCCCTTTCTCTATCCCGCTCTTCGCCCCGGTACCTATCATCACGATCGCCACCTCTATAACTCTCCCTTTCATTACGATCTCGGCTGTGACTATGATGGTGTGTGTCCTTCATATGCCGATCATCCTGTCTGTATCTCCGATCTCGACTGCGAAAACATCGAGAGACGAGTATGTTTAATCGGAAATGAGCCCACCATAGGGAAACTTCGACAAAGCAAAATGAAACAAAAAAAATTAGACGATTAACTCTTTAAAAGATACAATGATCACGGCATGTGATCTGAGAGAAAAAATCACTAGAAAGTACAACAAACATGATAGATTAATGAACCCAAAACACAACAGTACGTAAATGGGTATAGAGTGACCGGATAAGTACAGTCGAACATGTGCAAATATGAATGAGTACCATTGGCTGGAAAGTCATTGTAAAACAAACATTGGTTGCATACCTTGAGCGTCTTGGGCTATGACTTCTGGATCTGTTACCCTTCTTCACAGTGGTGTCTGTGATCCTTCCTCGATGACTGGAACCCCACCACATCAACAACACCTCCAAATGATCACGCATACCTTTAATAAAAGCCGTTCATTGAGTAACATGAACTACATGACAAGAAGTCACGCAAAAATACGACATAATTCAATGGAATCTTCTATGTTCAAAGAGCAACTCGCCAACTAGGGTTTCATTTTCGGAACACGACCACTGGAGACTCACATTGGCTCATCATTTCGACCGTACTTGGCACTCTGCACCACAATGTTTCTTCCATCGACGGCCCGGCCTGTGTCAAAATAAATCCAACGTACAGGGAATTGGAAACCTGCTTCGGAGGTGCATTAACTGTTCCAATGCGGGAACGTGCTAGCAATAGCTCCCAAGGAAATTACCACAATATCCTTACGTTGTAGGAAAGATTCAAAACCAAGAACTAGTTCATGAGAAGTGAAACAGAAGGATAACCATCCAAACGCTCAATCGCTTTTTGTGCCTCGTCCGAATATTTGTACCGCACAAACGCAAAACCACGAGATTCTCCAGTACTACAAAAAGAAACATGTCAGTTGCCTTTACACGACTAAATACTAAAGCCAGAGATACAGATAGGCAGACCAAATTGACTCCAAACGTTGCCAAGCTAAAGCACCCAATACTTTACAACCTACAGAAGTCCTCTGAATGGTTACGTAAAGTCCTTACCGACGATCTCTGGGAATAAAAATGTCCACCACCTTGCCATAGCGGTCAAATAATGGATAGAGATCATCAGCGCTAGTTCCTGACATATAACAGAGTAACATGTCCACCATAATCAAGATTCTGTTCTACAACTTACATGAGCATGTTAAAAACCAAATTGTAATGTAACCTCATACTTTATGAATTGAAAAAGAAGCAAACTGAGAAATAAGCACGAGAAAGGACACGAGGTTGAAGACAGATTCGAACAAATTAAACATGAGTAACTTCGCATCAGAGCTGGGTAAGCCTAGTGATTAACAATATAATCTATATTGAGTCCAGTTGGAAATTGGAAACAGAAATTGATTGAAAACGACAACCTCAGAACTCGGCTATGGCTATTCAATCTATAGTGTAGAAAATTGCTTGACAAGAATTCAGGGCAACAGTAATTGAGAAATTCGCAGAATACGTAATCCAACAGCACCTTAAAACACTTGAAATTTCTCGAAAGCATTCAAGATTCAAAAAAATAACGCAACGATAGATACTATTACAGGGATTTACCGTAGAAAAACACTACCGAGGAGCCAATCGCTCTAGTTCTGAACCTAAAAAATAAGCTGGAATATGATACAAAAGCCTCACCAATGAGTGACACTGAAAATAAACGTAAGCAATGGCCTAAAACCTACACGGCTTGCATGAGAATTGTGCTTCGTACCTAACTTGAACCATGACGAAAGTAAAGACATATATATATATATATACACACACATATACACGCACCATCAAAGTTGATGATAATATAACCAACGCTGCAGAAGCAGCTCGTGCACGAGACTCGAACGAGCAACACACAGCGAGCACAAAGCTCGTTATACGGATTTTTGCGAGAGAGCATGGCAAAAACCTAGCGTGATAACGACATACGAAACTCACCTCCGACTACTGAAGAGCACACAAACCTAAACCCGCCACTTCAACTCGACAACCCCGCAAGCAACAGAGAGAAAACCACGAGATCCAACGGAATGCAACACACGCGAAAAGAAGAGACCACATACGAAATGTGATGTTGAGCACGAGCAACGAGTACGTGTCTCTAATATCGGGCGGGCCAGCTCTGCCAAAGTGAGACATGGTGACTACCCCCGGAAGCGGCTCCTCTCGCTCCGACAGCAATGCCAACTATAAGAGATGAAAAAACGAACAGTCGGTGGGGCGCCGCAGCAGCAGCACACACAGCGTCTGCGTGAAGGAGAGCACGGCGGCTGAATCGAGAGAACGGGGGAGGAGCACGCAAGGAAGAACGGGCAGGTTGAAGAGGATGAGGGGGGGCCATAGCCATTGCCACCAGGTCCGCCACAGCCCGCCTTCCTCCCACGTCCGCAAATCTCCTTGCGGAAGGTCAGGATCTGGACAAGGACCTGTGTCCATGAGCTCTGCACCCACTCCATTTCCACCCACCCCTCCCATGCCCGTTATGCCAACACGGTACAGGGAATGAGCGGTGCAGATCTCTGCATCCCTTTAATTTACAGCATCACCATCCCGTGCCCGTTATGTGAGCGCGGTACAGGAAATGAGCTGTAAAATTTACTTGTATTTTTTTCTATTTATCACTCACATACACACACAAAACATGTAAATAAAAAAAATTGTTTAGAAATTTTTATTACTTCTTTTCCTTCTCATTTCAATCTTTGTGCATTAGTTGTTTTAAAGCTTGGTAATTCTCTAGGGCTTTACGTAATTAGTCTACTGGAGATTACTTTAGAAGAGTTTATGATTTCAAAATTATGAGAGTGATTTTGGAAGTTGTCTGACTTGGTACAAGGAGAAAAGAGCAAAAGTGGGTCAATTTAAGATCTATCTAGGTTGATATAATATTCCTCACTATTTAATTTATTATTGATAATAATACAAAAATGTACTAAACAATTTGTTTATTGTATAAGGATTATCTAAAAAGTACATAAATATGTAAATATAGTATTATAACTATAAGGTAATTCTAATTTTTCCTTTTCACATCAAACATGGACAAAATTTAGATGTCTAAAATATTTAAAGTTTTAATAACTTGGTCTTAACCAAAATGTTTTACATATTATATTTCTTTTCTTTATTTTTTTTAGTTTCAAGGTTTAAAAATAAATAAATAAATAACATGAATGAGAATAATCCTTGCTTTGATTTAAAATATCTTATATATATTTTTTTATTGAAAGCAAAAGAATTAAATGATAGTAATATTTTTGTTTTTATTCAAATTCCATTTTTTTATTTCGTGATTAGGTAATTATTAACTGTAACAATGTCAAAGTTTTGGATTTGAGAAATTTATGAAAAGCATTGAAAAAAGATACACACAAGATTCAAGCTGATATAAACAATCAATTAATATTTCTTATCAAAGTAGTTTTAATTTATTTTATTTTATTGGAGAGTAAAAAGTAAAAGAACAGATTAGAAAATGCATCCATACAATAATAGTACTCTGAATAGTTGTCATTTGTTCATTATATCATGTAAAATTTCTGTTATATTGAAAATCTCAAAATGTAATTTAAAATTATAATTCTACATATGGTTGAACATGACTTTATTGTTAAGTAAACTTGAAACATGCCTTTTACATGTTTCTTAATTATTCTGAATATGGCAAACCAACAATTTTGATCACTACACTATTAGAAAAATAATTCATACAAGATAAAATCATACATGAACACACAATTGTATATACATTTTTTTGAATTTTTTCCTTAACAAATAAATAAAAGTAAATCGTTACATACATACATACATACATACATACATATGGCCATAAAACATATATTGATTAGTTCAAGAAAATAAATTTAAATACCATGTTTTTCAAATAAACATTTATGATGTATTTAAAAGCAAAGAGAGCAAGAAAACCACCACATATTGCATGATCACTAACAAGATTTATTATTATTATTATTATTATTATTATTATTTAATTTATTGAAAAAATCAAAAGCTAATATGCTCATCACATATATATATATATATATATATATACATGGAAATGTTAAATAGACCCACACATTCTATCCATCACGAAGAAAAAAAAAAAAAAAAAAAAAAAAAAAAATCCTGTTAGTAAGTCTGCAAGCGTTAAAAACCAACCACAGTTAAAAACCAACCACATTCTTCATCGAAAGTGGATCTATTTTATTGTCCATGGGAGTGGTTCTCCTTAATGTCCCTGGTTTCGAACAAAGTAATGTCAAAATGCCCTTCCAGACATTCATTCCACCACAAAGCATAATGTCCCGGGGTCCGGGCCTTTCGAGAGGTATCAACCCGGGCGCAGCAAAGCCGTCAAGATGCGAGAGGGGAAAGGACGGCAGGGATAGCACGTGGGACGGGCACTTCATCTCGCAGATACCCACCAGGCCAAGGGAGGGGGCGAAGGGGGGGGAGGGGGGGAAAGGGGGGGAACAGAACAGGGGTTTGAGGGGCAGGGAGGGCAGGCAGCCAGGCATAACGTCGCCGGGCTTTGCACCGCACCACAAACCCCAGGGTCTTGCGAGCAGCGCGTCTGGACGCTCACTGGAGCCGGGCCAGTCAAGGGTATGAACATCTTCTTCGTCGTCGTCGTCGTCACTTTCTGTTTATTTATTTTTTCTTTTTTGTTTCCGAATCGAGTGAAGTTCCTATGAATTCGTTGCTTCGTCTGCGCGCGATGCGCCTGGAAGTCTCCATGAATCAAGTTCTCGGTGGTTGGTTGCTCCCATCATCCCTGCAAATTTTCGTGCAGCCTAGTCGGCCGTTTAAGTCTTTACGATCGAGTCACTGCAGGTTGCGAGGTTTATGTTTCGGCCCATTGGAAACTACATTGAAAAATCAGTGACGACATGTCCGCGCGGGTGTCTATGTGCTGATTGTTTTGAAAGCTTGGGGGTGGTGTTTAGCACGATTGTTGTGGTAGAGCAGGGTTAGGGTTAGGGCGCGATGTGTTCCGGTAGTTGGCAAGATAGGTGGTGTTACGGTAGCTCAGTCTCGTTTCAAACTTCGGTTCGTGAATCCGGTTTGAGGTGATAGAGAGTGAGTTTTGAAGAGTGCTGGAACGAGTTGTTTTTATGGACAACGTTTTTCATTGTGTGACCCGAGGGTCGTGTCCGACATCAGCTAGTTTAGCTGTAAGATGCCATAGTCGCTTCTCTCCATCTTTGGACATGGTTGAGTGCTTTGTTGAAAACGTGTCTCACTTATGAGGGACAAGTTCAGTGCAGAAGCAGCCACATTCAAGTGTAATTTGAAACTTGAGGAGTATAGCTTACATGTCGTCACTGATTTTGAGGTGGACATGTTACGGACTTATCATGTTCTTTTCTTTTTCTTTTCTTCGTTTTTTTCTTTTCCACTTCATCATTGTGCTTTCGAATACTGCACGGACTACTTTAAGCTCTCACTTTGTGAAGGGACTCGTTATTCATCCATACTACAGGTTTTGGCAGGCGCAGGTGCTTGTCCTCTCAAGTCTGAAATTCCTTCCGTGCAAGCGTCAACTGTGTCTGGGATGTTCTCGGCAGCTTTTACTGGACACGGTGCTGCACCGAGTAATTGGATTGCTGTGTACTCCTTACACTGTCTAGTTTCTGCATTATGGCCGCTCTCAATTCAAACTCCATGACTGAAGGACATGCGTTAGCGCCCGGTGATGGAAGTAATGCTGTTGTGATTTCCTCTAGGAGTGCAGAAGATTCTGAAGAGGGGATGATGGAGCAGCTTACTGCTTTGGAAAATCAGCAGGCATTCTGGAGGGTGTACCACCGAAATTCCCCCACATGGGCATTCTTCACAACGAATGATAGCTGTGCTGTAGACCTCGTCAAGCCTCAGCTTATGAGATGCATCGTTTGCCATCCTAGCAGAAGGGAAACACTGGGTCTCCGCAGTACACGTTGTCGGAAAGGCGTGGTGCTGTACAACAAAGAACATGGCACGTCCGCCATGAAAAGACATGTACATGCTGAGCACCCACAGGCTTTCAGCCGGTACAAAGCATTACGAAGTTCTTCTGAACCTTCTCAGGTTGCACCTCGTCAGCCTTCTAAGAAGAGACCTGGTCCTTTTCCAAGCCCATTAGCCTATGGATATCCAGGCACATTAGCTAATGTATATGCAGGCACCAACCCACAAAAGGAGGACGAGCAACATCAACAATTCCTTGAAGACTTGGCTTTGTACATTTTGAAAGCGTATCAACCACTCTCCAGTGTGGAGAATATTTGGCTGAGAAGGTTGTTGCTGAGTCAATGCCCTCGCCTTCTGTTTCCTTCACGCCTTGAGTTGTTGGATGCCGTGATTCCGAAGTTAGAGGCGAAGACATTGGAGAAATACGTCATTCCTGCTCTCACAGGTTGCACCACGGCTACGATGTCTTTTGATTTGTGGATGTCGTGTTCAGAGTGGAGCACCTACGCCGTAGTTGTCAACTTCCTTAACGATGCGTGGGTTCCTTGCAACGTCACTATTGGTCTCCTGGAGACATCTAGCATGGCAGAGGTGCCGTTAGAAGTGCAGCTGCAGGATATTCTGAGCCGCTTCAATCTCTCGACGCGTATAATTGCATACGTTAAAGATGAAGGCGGCAGCCTGGATATCATAACCTCAGCATTGGCTTCTGTGGCTTCTTGTGAGGTCTTGGAAATGGATGTACCTTACGCGGGCGCTTGCTTCGGCCATGCGTTTTCAAAATGTTGCGAGCATGCAACTGACAACTCTAAGGTCAGCTTAGAGCTAAACAAACCTTAACCAAGTATATACGTAATTGCTTTTTACTTCGTGCAACATGTTTTGAATAGATTAGTTTTATCGAATAACTGGTTTAAGCATTCTGCAATAGTCATGAGTTAGCTATTTTTTGATTTCCTGTTATCGTTGTAATAGTTATATTTGTACGGTCTTTTTCTGCCGAAGTTCACAAAAATGAGATTATAACACACTGCTTTAATTTGACTGGTGTGTGTTGTTTTCAAGGTTTGTGCTGGGTTTAGGGCGGTCAGTTTGAAGGATGTTCAAGGTTCTCTACAAAAATCCATTACGTGGATTCAACAAACTCGAAAAGGAAGGCAAGAATGGGAAAAGGTTTGTGCGGAGAAGCAGTTGCTACCGCGGACGTTGAAACCTCCTGTCAAGAAGAGATTTGCATCAAGGGCATTGTTTTTCCAGGAGTCCCTGCATTACGCTGAAGCCATCACCTCGTTCTTTACTAGACAAAGCCCTGAGCTGCAGTTCCCAATTCCAAGTTCACAAACATGGGCCGTTGCAAGAGCTGCTACTGAAACCCTTGTCCCTGTTGTTAAGCAGAGTGTTCTGAAGCAAAAGACAGGTTTCTGGTTCTTGTCCGAGGCTCTTGCAGCAGCTCTGTCTTTGTTTATTCACTTTCGACAAACTCGCTTTCTTGCCAGTGAAGTAGCCGCGTCCAATGGTGACGACTTTGATAGTGAGCTCTTGGATCTTAAGTCAAGAATGGAAGATGAGGTATTGGCTGTGCTTGAGCCTTTATTATCTTTTGCTTCAAACTTTTCGCGGCAGAACGCGCACAACATGCTGGCACTCATGTTGGACCCACGCTTTAAGGGGTTAGGTCTTGTGCGCGACTACGTCGGAGCAGATAAGGTTGTGGTTATCGTGTTAGAGTATGATAATATGGTCCTGCTACCCTTATTGATGCAGTGCTACAAGCGCTTACATCCAACAGCTCAAAGTCAGGAACCTGTTACCCCCATTTCTGAGAATTCCATCTTTGGAGCTCAAGCATCAGCGGAGGAAGTGATCTTAGAACAGTTGAAATCTGAGCTATCTTTGTTCAGAAGGCTGCATGTTGCTGATGGGGAGTACGACAGCCCCCTTGCCTGGTGGCGAAAGCATGAGAAAGAATTTCGAAATGTTGCCTTCTTGGCTCGACAAATCCTGGGAATCGTCGGATCTCAAGTTGAAATCGAAAACATTTTCAGCATAGCAGGTGTGATTCTTTCTCAACAGCGGCGCAGACTAGGCATAAATCATTTAGAAAAGTTGGCGTTTATTTCCAAAAACTGGCCAGATGAGCGAAATAATGCTGGGAAGTCAGAGGTTGAATCTATCGAGCATTTTCTGGAAATCGAGGACAGGATCATCGAGGACAATATCCACCTTGTTGAAGAAGCTGATCTGTTTGAGAAATCAGGCCCTCATTAGCAAGGTATGTTATTTCTGGTTCCTTTTGCTGACATTGTTCAGAATATGCCCGGGGTACTCAGCCGTGTTAATATCCTTGTTAAATTTAACACCTCTATTGTTCTGATGCAGGTTTCTTGTGCAATTACAATTACTTTTCCCGGCCAAACTTGTATTTATTTTATTCCGTTAGATTGAAGCCGTGAGTGTCGGAAATAATCACAGTACATGTTCCGAAGCGTGCGATCACTGCAAGAATGTCCGAACTGGTATAACTGCAGTAATGCCCTTTGTTGCATCCAATCATCACGTTTTTCAGGAGGTTGCTGATGATCAACCTCTTCAAGACATAAGCAGTAACGTAGAAGTTCTCTGTTCTGTATAAATTTTTGTTCTTCGCTCAATGGCATGTATTTCAAACCATCATGACCTGTAAAGATGTGCTTTCTGGTTCAGTTCAAGGACTGAAATGAGCAATACAAATCCAATTATTTCTTGTGGAATCCACTAAGTTCTTCACAAGTACCATGTAGCGAAAGTGAATATGAGCACCCCTTCAGAATATTTTGCAGTTTGTATTTGGTTCTTCTTGGTAAAACTCTCAAGCCAATGGAAGCTTGTCTAGGTGTTTAACCCCCTAAACCCTTCTCTCTAGGTTCTCAGTTTTCAGAACCAGGGTGTAGCAATTTGGCCCTCGAATCATGCATGTGTGGAAGAGGAATTATTCAGGTGCTGCAGGCAATATCAAAATCAAATTTCCTTTGCTAAGGAAGGAGAGCACCTAATAACAGGACGTTGCAGGCAGCAACACGTGAAGGCGGATTAGCGAAGGATGAGAACACCAATCTGTTCAGAAGGTCCTGCTGAGATCATTCAAGTTTGTCCGTGAAAGTTTGTTCTTAGCGTCTCTTCAGACACATTGGCCACCGACAGCGCTTTGTACTTCACCCTGGTAAGCTTCACCCTGCCTACACCCTGATTTTCTTCAGTCGAATGCCCACTCAGTCAATTTTGCAGAGAAACAACGTCGTGCTGAAGAGGTTTTGGTTGAAGTCAAGTGGCAGTCGCTGGAAAGGCCGCACTAGCACTCATTTGAGGATGATCTCATGTCCGGATCTCCAGTTTTATAGAAGAATTCTCAGGTCCTTAATAGCATCTACGATGCAGCTTCCAGGCCTGAAATGGTTAGCTTGCATGCGAAAACTCAGCAAGAGTAGCAGCAAGAAGGGTAGAGAAAAGCTTCGTGTCGTTGCGTTGTGTGCATGCTTATCTGTTGCACTGGCTTAAAACAGCTGAATCTTGTTTGTTCTGATAATACTACCGACAATGGCAATCAAATATAGTGTTGGACATGCACTGTGTCTTGTAAGAACACTAACTCCAAATGTAATATTTGATCTGGTAGATGTGGCTAAATATAAAAATGCTCCAATTGTTGCGAGGTATGAATATTGCTCTTCTAATATTTTTTTATCTTCCTTGTACAAAAGGTATAAATCATGACCATCACATCCAATCATTGGTGTAGACAATAGATAAGCATCAATCATATTGAATCTCTATAAGTTTTGTCTAATATACGTTAGTTGGTAGAAAAAAATGCTACCATCTATGACATACATAATCTGAAGACCAATGCAGAAAGTTTTTTTTTTTTATATTTTAATTTCAAATTCACATATAAGTAGGTTAGTAACTACAATGCATATAGATCTAGTATCCACTAGGTTAAGATCATTAACATATACAACGATGATCACAAAACTAATTTTATCTCGTTTGATAAATAAACAAAGAATTAGCGGATCACTTACAAACTTATTTATAATTAAATAATCTTGAAGATATTGATACCACATGTATTTAGATTTTTTTAGACTATATAAGGCCTTGTATAATTTAATACCATGATATTATCTTGGAGTAGGTATATTTGGAGTTCTTGTTTTCAAACTAGGTGGAACTTTCATGTAAATATCTACATCGAGTAAACCATACAAATACGTAGTTACTATATCTATGAGATACATCTCAAGGGTAGCATAAACTGCCATTCCAATAATATATCGGAATGTAATTGGATCCATGACTAGAAAATATATAGATTTATAATTTATGCCAAATCGTTGAGTAAATCCTTTAGCAACAAGACAAGCTTTATAGCGAAATAATTTGATCTTTAGCATCTTGCTTGCATATTAATATCATCTTATATTTCACAAGGCGAGAAGTAAGACTATCCACAATTGGACCAAAGACTTTCTTCTTATGCAAAGAAATATCACAATCACCTTATGTTATAGCTTTTTTCTTTCATAGTTGCTTATATGGTCCATGACTCCTTTCAATTGTTGATGTTTTAACTTGAAGTATATTTGTTAGTGGTATTGCAATACAAGCACGCTCATTTTGAGCCTCATTAATTGAAATTCTTGTAATCTGAGGCACATCATTGAAGTCATGTGGTGTTTCATTTGCAATCCGTTTTAAATACAAAATCTTGGTAACTTTACTTTCAACCAAAGATGTTTTAGGATCATGATTTATTGTAAATGCTTCTAGTGCTCCAAATGCAAGTATTATATTTTTTTATTGACTAAATACTCCTCTTAGAAGAGATGGAAATATGTTCTCTTCAAAATGGCAATTATGAAAATATGCATGTAATAATGTGCCAGTTAATGGGTCAATTATACGAATAATATCTAGTGAATCAAAACCAACATATATGCCTTCTCGTCGATGTGCTTCAATGGTATGCCATTGATGTTTTGGTATTGGAATCCAAGTATGGCAATCAAATATCCGTAGGTAAGATACATTTGGAACACCACCTAAAATGAGTTCTTATGGTGTAATAATTTCAAGAGAAGAAAGACAGTGGCATGTTAATGTTGCAACATGTAAAACTACATGACTCCACATAGATGCAGGTAAAATTGCATGAAGAAGGAGTGGCTAGGTAATGAATTACATATGCTTTATAAATGACTCTGCAAGTCCATTTTGAGCATATTCATATGGAATACAATATGTCAATTCAATCCCTATTATAGTACAATAGTCTTCAAAGGACTTTGATGCAAATTCTTTTGCATTATCCATATATAACATTTTGATAGGATAATCAAGATAATGTACTCAAAAATAAATAAGCATAGATATAATATTAGAAAATATCATATTTTGAGATGTTAATAATGAAACATGTGATTGTTTGCTTGATGCAAAAGATCAAAAAATAACAAAATGGTCTAAATATTGGATTAATAGGACCACAAATATTACCATGCAACCTTTTAAGCATTGGTGGTAATTCTTGTGGAAGTTTCCAAATTGAAAGCCGAACAATCATCTTGCCTTGCACACATGCATGACATAATTCTGTAGAATTTGCATTTGCATATCGTAAATTATGTTCAATTATATATGAAATTATCTTCTAAAATAATGTAGATCTTAGATGTCCTAATCGTCCATGCCAAAGAAAAATGTAACTCTCTATTATAGATGATACAAAATTAAATATAATAGGAAGTTGGATTGCAATCCGATATAAATCATTTGTCTCAGTTAAGACTTTTTTTACAACTTTATGGTTCTATTCAAGAACCAAAACCTCTTGCTTATCTAGAATTAGAGTTGAGAGGTGATAACCATTGGCATACACATCTCAATAGCTGATGAAACTTCAAGGTGCTGAGGGTGCAAAAATTACATGTTTACATTTTATGATAGAGCCTGCATGCAATTTTATCATTATTATTCCCTCTTGGAAATGAAACGCATTTGTTCCAGCCATAGTCATCAAATTTCTAGTTTGCCAAGTTGAAGATTTTTCAATTAAAAATATCTATGTCATAGGATAGTATGTGTTGTTATAGAATCAATGAGCGTATCATTTGATTCATAATTAGAGGTTTTCTCATTCATATAAGTTTCCAAATCATCAACACCAATTGAATCCATTGATGCATCTATAGTATAAACTTCACAAGCCTTAGCTTGAAGTTTCTTATTTTCTTGGAACATTTTAACAAAGCATTTTGAAGTATGACATGCATGTGTCAAATATCCAATCATTTGAGATTTATGGCAAGAACGCATCTCCAATTTTTATTTTCTAGTATAATTAGTTGTAGAATATTTATTCTTTCTATATGGATGGAAATGGTCACGAACATGATTGACCTGGTGTTTATGAGCATTTTTTTATGTTTATGTAATTGTTTCAATATATTTCAATTCAAAGTTTTACGATTGTATATAAGATTTAATCTAATTTAATACTTTTAAAGTTTTTATTACATTTACGTTACTCGAAGGGAATTCTTTGGATTACAACATTTAAAAAGAAGATGTATCTTACAGAGGTAAAATTAAAAGGGATTAGACAACAAGTAAGACATTTAATAAGACATTTTAAAGACTTTTTATTGTTCTTTAGAATTGACTAACCATTATCAAAATTTTAATAATCAACCCTCTTGCCAACAAATTACGAAATTGACTGACTTTGTGCTCTATATCAAACATTATTGTCATTTTATACTATTACTAACCATGTGACAAAATGTTCTTTTGATAAGGAACTAATATATATTTTTTTTGTTATTTTATGAGATAAAAACATAATTAATCCTCGTCAATTTTTTTTTTTATTTATTGCTAGGTTTTTTAAAAATCTTTATATGACTTGAATAAATCATGGATGTGAAATGGTTGTAACAGTTTATGGTGTTGAATATAAAACTTTATAACCATTTTGAGAAACACAAATTTCATGGTTTAGATATAGTGTTTTGGTAAAAAAGAATAAAATGTAACATTAATAGAAGGATGAAATTAGTAATTTTAAAACATTAGGTCAATTTAACTTAATTACATTATTTGAGAGCAAAACCCAAAGTATCAAGCAATATTGTGTTTTGTATATAAAAATGCTAACCTAAGCATAATTAGCCAGCACATCAAACAGTATGCATAAACTTGACATGCTGTGTTTAACACATGTGAATTTTTTATAAGTTTTTAGTTTATAGTACATAAGTAACTTGATGTAAGTATATATGATACAAAAACAAATATTTATGAATAAAAAACACTTTAGTTTTCTGGGTATAGATGTACTGAATATAAATAAAATGTTTATTGCCAATTGGCAATTATATACAACATCACATGCCATTCAAACACTTACTATGCATTCCAACATATTCAAAATTATTTTACTGTTATAGAGAAGAATGAGGCATACAAAATTTAGTAATTTGTAAACTTTCAAAAAATTTAAAACATAATTTCGAATAACAACTTGCTTATTATTAAAAATAAATAAAATTAATTGTAACCTTTTTTCATTTAATAAGTGAAATAAATAAAAAACTAAGTATTCCATGTTCTTTTCTCATTTCATTTTAAATCCTATGTACTGATTATTAAAAAATAATAATAAATTAGAATCAAATACGAAAAACATTGAGGTTCTGTTTTCAAACAATGTAAATACAATAGTTGGTGGGCACACTTGATTTAATCAAGCTAATTTTTCTTGTCTTTCCAACATAATTTTATGTTCCATCAATAAATTCAGAAGTGAATCAATACAAATCAAATCTGCAATTTTAGGTTTGTGTTCAAAATCTCAAGTGTATTTAGGTCAACATTACAACAAATATTTGAGACTATTTTATACCAATAAATTAAGATGAAATGCATTTCATCCAATGCCATATTTCTATAATGAAAAGGAAAGTTATGAAAAAATTGTTATATCTTATTGTTACAACAATAAGACTTAATTTTGATTTGAAACATTTGTAGAGATGTATTAAAGACCAGCTTTTCTTCATTGGCAATACAATAGACATGGCTGTAATATTGTCATGCACACATGGTACACTTGAAATTGTGTTGTTTGTGAAAGATTCACCAAGGTTGGTACTTATTGTATGTCAATACATTCATATGAAAATATATAAAAATATGTAAATATATATTAGTTAATTAATAACATAATACTCATAGCCACTTTTACCAAATATCTCATTCAACTTGGATGTATAGAACATGCAGGAATTTTCTTGAATTGTGCAAGGCAGGTTATTATGATGGCACTACATTTCATGTACAAAGTCCTTTTGTGTAGCTCTGATATCTTGTACTTAAGAATAATCTGCATAATCTAATTTATTACTTAAAGAAATAGAGTTTAAAATCATGTTAAATTTCACTCTTTTATTGTATTTATATATACATACATATATATATATATATATGTTTGTGTGTGTGTGTGTGTATTGCAACAACATGTATCTATCTATTAATTTCATTTTATCAAATAAATATTTTTCTATATTTTATTTGATCCAACCACTTTTTAATTGTAAACCATGCTTTCGTAGTGTAGAAAGTTATTCCAGGCTTCATGTGTCAAGGTGGTGATCCATCAGGTGAGACATCCAAGCAATCTCAAAATAATAAATACAATTATAGATGTTTTTTAAAGTTTAGTATCCAAATGAATTTATTTTTTTCTTGAACAAAATTAGGAATCTATGTAGGTACAGGAAGAGGTGGTGAATCCATCTATGGCCCCAAATTTGCAGATGAGATGACGGCAAAGCATAGCCATGACCGAAAAGGGATTGTGTCAATGGCAAATAGTGGACGCAATACAAATACTTCACAATTCTTCATATTGTTTGAACCGGTGAGGAATATGTTGTCTACTTTGTTGTATTGGGTTCTTTGGCAAGTTACTTGGTTTCCCCTTTGGAAGTTTTAAATTATTTTGTATGCACAATGTAACAACTTGACTTTACAATTATCATCAATTAATGAATATTTTGTATTCTTTAGGTTTTTTGCAATTTGGTAATCAACTCCAACACAATTATCATTCTTCACTGTTTTGCTTTGTTTTGTCACATTCAGTTGACTGTGCTTTGCTTCATGTTCATGCCAAAATGGTTACCATTGATAACATGATCATTGTGAGTATTTAAGAATAAATGTTGCAATGATTTTTTGATGTTAGAGTCCCCATCTTGATGGAAAACACACTATATTTGGCCAAGTGAAGGAGTATGGTTTTCCAGTGTTGAATGCAATGCAAAATGTGAAAGTGAAGGCATTTAAACCTAATATTCCTATCAAGTTGTAAGATTTCTCTTTTAACTACAATTCAATAATTCATTTTTCAATCAAATCCAATATTAGTTTTTCAAGTGATTTCAGAACAAGTAATTGTGATAGCAAATACAAAATGAAATTTTTATGACTTATATTCAACATAAAATACATTGGAAACCGTCATGATATGCATATTAAATTTTTATACAATATCCACACTTGCACAAAGTGTAAAATTTTGAAACAAGTTTTATCATAGATTTGTGGCAGAAGTCATAGAAGATCCATGGGAAGGCCAAGAATTGCCTCTAGGAACAAGAATCCCCACCAAACCATTGGTTGGAGTTGATCAATTCTCCTTGTCAAGATGTTCGATTATGTAAAAAACCAACAAAAATGTACATTTTTTGTTTTTTGAATAAAAAATGAAAATTCATTGAATTTCAAAAGTTATTAAAAAAATAAAGTGGTTCAAAGTTTTTGAAGTTTTAAATCAATCAAGAATTAATTTCATTTGTACAATTAGTCATATACAAGAAATGTTAAGAAAGTATACAAAAATTAACAACAATATACTTCAGCTTCTTGTGAATGAATATGTTCTCATCCTTACTTTCGAATTTTTATTGATTATAAATCATTTGAATAAAATGAGATCCATGTTAATTGATTTGATGGAGGTATAGTTGTACACAAACGATCTTATGCCTTAAATCTCTTGTATGCTATGAATAGGAAAAAAGAAAAAAGAAAGACAAAAAATGAAAAAAACTTCATGTGCTCATAACTTTGTTTTGTTAATTTATTTTCAAGTATGAAGTTTTATAAACATGATTTCATTGCCACAGTAAAACATTGCATTCAAATAATAACACTTGATTGTATATTTTTATGTCCATGAGCTATGAAAAGTTTTGTTGAAAATATTTTGTAAAACTTTAAGCACAATATAAACTATTCCCATTGAAACATATAAAGATTACAAATGTCAATATTGATAAATAATATTTATGTTTTTGTAAAGTTGTAGTTTAAATCAAGTAAATTATCTTGGATAAATCTTTTTCGTTGAGAGATAATATTAATAGATATAAAGCTCCAAATTTTTTTAAAAATATTTAAAAAACGTTTAATTTAATTAAAACCATGATGTTTAAAATTTTGATTTCTAGTGAATGATTTTAATTCATTACTTGAATTATTTCAATATGTAAAACGAATAGGATATTTACAATTATACTTATAACCACGTAACAACCAGTGGTAAACTCTATCATAGTTTATAGTAATATGAACATTACAAATATAGGCAAAACGAGTAATCAATACAATTATTAACTTATTTTATTTTTAGAGTGTATATAATTGTTTTTTAGGTAAAGTGCAGCATAATTTTGACTCATTAAGATATTTCTTTAAAATAATTAACTCAAATTCCATTTACAATGTGTGAACTAGAAAAAATTCATTCAAAATAGAGCTTAATGCAAAGATATTTAAGGAAATTTCGAGTTCAATAGTAGAGATTTTAAAAATACAGACATACATTTCTTTTAAATTTTTTAAATTTGTTAAATGTTAAAGTATCCTATGAAGCTTAAGTGAAGTTCAGGTGTTCTTATTTTGGATTACTTTTATGAATTCAACATAACAACAATTTTTGTTATATATTTATATTTTATAATAAATTTACAATTTATATATAGGCCAATGTCACCATAATTTTTGCTATTGCAACAACTTATTCTTATTAATTTTTAATTGTTTTTTATTGAAATTAGATTGAGTTTTTTTATTAATTTCAAAAAAACCTGATTGGATCTAATAATAGTTTTTTATTGGAACAAAAAAGACAAATAATATGTCAAGTGGGTGGCAGGTTGTGGTGGCAAAAAAAGAAAACCCTATATATATATATATATATATATATCCTCATGCAATATAATTTCAAGTCATAGTGGTTTTATACTTTTTAATTAAATTATATATTTTTATTGAAATTTATAATTTTTTATTAGGATGTGATGTGCAAAATTTAGGCTTTTTTTGTAAAGATTTTATTAACAATGCTTAATACTGTCTAAAACAAAGTAAAAAATAGCTCTTGTGTTTAAATTTTGTTTAAGAATAATTCTTCATGTTAATAATAAATTCATTATAAATAGTTGATTAAAGTTACTTTCACACTTGATTCTATAAATTTTGTATTGTATTTTTTTTAATAATATGTTTAAAAAGTGAATAAAATTTTTAAATTTTAATCTACAAGTGTTGTAAAAAATTAAAATTTTAAATAACATATATAATTAGAATTATATAATTCTAATTATATAATATATAATTCTAATTATATACAATCCAATATATGCATGTATTTATATATATTTATATTGATATAATAAGTACACTTACGTCTATACATTCAATCAACTATTAACTTACAAAATCCTAAAAAATACATTAATCATCTTCTATCATATGTATACCAACAATTGTGATATTTATGTTAATGTTTTTATGTTACAATGCACCCCTTTATTTGCTAAAACACTATTGTTGATAATTGCGTCTCTATCTTACTTCCACTTTTATCAATGTTTTTCATGCACAAACCATGATTTATCAATTGTCACATTCATATTTTCACCATATATAATATTCATCACAAATATCTACATCCATTTTTCCAAATTAAACCTCAACATGTTGCCACTCTTATCACAAATTATTTTTGTTGTGTATACATGAAGAGTTGCATAAAAGACACAAATACATACATACATATACACATATTACTTGTTCCTTTACTAAATATTAAATAATGGCTACAAGTCTACACCAACCGAAAACTAAGGTGTGAACGCAAATTGTGATTCGATCACCACTATCGGAGGAGGATACCAGCCGGGCATACATGACTTCATTTACCCGTCAATACACCGGAATCTTTATAACCGGGAACGCAATAGAAATCGATCCTATGAGGGTATAAGGCGGGCATAAATGAACTCAAGTACCCGCTTTTCCACTGGTACTGGAATTTCAGGGGACGTTAGAAACCAGCCTCCGATATACCCTGGATGGCGGGTATGTTCAGCCGTTCCCTCAAGAAGAATGGAGACTCTCCGAGCGTCATGAGCTTCCATATTTTTGGGGTTAGGTCATGTGTGATGTGGCCTTTGCTCGTGATCGGTGTTGTTGTTATTGTTGTTGAAGGAATTGGTGTTTGGAAGGAGTGGTAAGGCTATGCTTACGGTGAGCGCCAAATGGCAGAAAGAGATTTTTTTTTCCTGCTGTGGAAATTGACCTCGACCAGCCAGGGTACTTGTTTTAAGTGTCCCGTTGTATGCTCTGACGGGCGTGCACCCGGAGCGGCAGAAGGTCATGGTTAGAACTCGGATTGCTGAGAAATGATGCGGACCTGCACAAGCTAGGGTTGAAGGAGGGCCAGCGGTTGATGCTGATGGGCACTGCCGATGAGATTTTTCCAATGCACCTGTGGAGGTGCCTATCCTCGCTGAGGATTTGCCAGAGAAGCAGCAGGGCATGGCTAAGCTTGGCCACACCGCAGGGCTTGTTAATTTGGGGAATACTTGCTATATGAACTCCACGGTGCAGTGCTTGCACTCAGTGCCGGAGCTCAGGGATGCATTGCGGGGCTATACCGCCGTGGGTGCCAGTGTTTTTGATTCCTTGTCGCATACCCTAACCGTGGCGACACATGATTTGTTTAATGAGCTTGATAACAGCGCTCGACCGGTGGCATCATACCGTTTCCTTTCGGTGCTGCGAGACAAGTGCGATCCTCCGTCCTTCTCTTGATTGGATTCGCAGTTTGCTGTTGTGGGCTTTCTGAATCGATTCTCATTCTCGAGTGACTTCTTTCGATTGATCACAATCCTAAGGGTTAGACAAACGATATGACACAGTATCAATTGATGGCTATATTGTTTTTTTTTTTTTTTTTTTTTTTTTCTTCTTATTGTTCTCAATCCGTATCTTCAAGTGATGCCTTTTTTTTTTTCTTTTTTTTTTCTTTTTTCTTTTTTCCCGAACCTAGCTGAATCTCTGTTTTAATCATCGATTACACTATAATTTGTTTCGCTCCCTGTGTTGACAGTTGCAGGCCCCTCAAGGCCTGTGTTTTATGGGAGGTATGGTGGATTTGGGACTTTTCGAAAAGTAGATCATCGGGAGCGTGTTCTCTTAGAGTATCGTAAATCTTAGCTCCCACAACAATTGTGATCACTACTTGTGCTTCAGGTCCCGATCAAGCACCGCTTTTTTCGATGAGAGTGCTTGAATTGGTTGGATACTGGCCCCCAATTCCTCGTTGAAAATCAATAATTGCAATGATCTATCCCCATCACTATGAAATTTCAAAAGATTACCCAAACCTACCAAACCTATCGGTCCAGGTTATAAACTCGTTGAATTCATTAGTGTAGCGTGCGGCCCATAACATCTAAGGGCATCACAGACCTGTTATTGCCTCAAACTTCCATCGGCTAGACGCCGATAGTCCCTGTAAGCAGTTGGCCGCAAAGGAAAAAATCCTTTGCTTAACTGGTTAGCAGCTCTGCCTCGTTCGTTAACTGAATTAACCAGACAAATCACTCCACCAACTAAGAACGGCCATGCACCACCCACAGAATCAAGAAAGAGCTCTCAATCTGTCAATCCGTACTATGTCTGGACCTGGTAAGTTTCCCAGTGTTGAGTCAGATCAGTTGTCATTTTCTTGCTTAACCCAAGAAACATAGTGACCTGAATCAGCCCTTCGCCATTTGTGTGTCAAAACCGCAACAAGATTATAAATTCAGGTGATATCCGATGCAACTTCGATGCGAGTCTTCTTCGCAGTTGAAGACCCAGTTGCAGACCTGGTAACATCAATGTCCATTACATCATTTTCTGTTCGTTCGCCGACAGTTGAAACCTGCAGCGCCTTCACCCTTCCTGCCCGTTTCAGCTCTCTTAAGCCCAGCTTTGACTTCTTCCACAGCGAATAGCTTTTTCCGAGGTTCCACGAGTTTCTCTTTAAGCTCCTCTGTGCAGAAATCCAAAACATCCAGAAAATAGGATGAGTTGAGTGAAACAGGCCATCTGAATATATTTTATAAGATTGGGTTGGCTGAAATAGAGGCGAAAATTCGACCGGCTAGGTAACACAGTCCGCTATCAAGTGATCCAAGCTTGCCTTGGAATTATTTTGAGTGTGTGATTTGTGTCCCCTAGGTTTGGATCCCAAAGAAGGTCCTTCTCTTCTCTTGTTTGAAAAGACTAGAGGAAGAGGAAGAAAAACGTCCCACATCAGACCTCTGATCAAGAAAGACTACCCGCTGAGTTTAAGCATAGAATGAAGCGGAGGAGAAGAAACTAACCAGGATTTTCCGAGTAACTGCGAGCGAACCGGGAAGAGCCTAGCTTAAAAATTGAGGACCTTCGCACCCCGAATTGTAGTCTGGAGAAGCGTCCTCTGCAGCATACGGGCACCAAGTTCCCTAGAATGGGATGCCCAAGTGGGTGACAGCCCCGTCAAGGCCGATTTTTGTTGCTTCACAAGGTGTGATCTGCGAGTTGGGCGAGTCAGGTGAGTTGGGCTATTTGAAAATGCAGCCCTAAGTGGGAGGTAAATTCCTTCTAAGGCTAAATATTGGCAAGATATCGATCGCAAACAAGTACCACAAGGAAAAGATGAAAGGGACTTTGAAAGAAAGAGTTAAACAATGCTTGAAATTGCTGGGAGAGAAGCGAATGGAAGCTGCGGGTGTGCCTTGGTGGGATGTGGAACGGCTTCGGTTGGTCTGTCGCTCAACGCGAGGCATTGGTCAGCATGGGCTACTTAGGCGAGACAAGAGCATGATGTAGTTTCTTGCCTATGCCGCTGAGATGGCCAAAGAACGAAGCATACGACACTCGAGTCGTGTGACTTTTCTCAACTGCATGCTTCGGACGCTAGCGTATTGAACTCTTCATCCGACCCATCTTAAAACACGGATCAAGGAGTATATGTATGTAAGTAGGTGAGTAGCAAACCCATTGACGCGCAAGTAAACTGGCAGGTGGGACCTCTCTCAAAAGGGTGCACTATCGATCGACCGTGATCTTCTGTAAAAGATTCGAGTGTGAGCATAGAATAGCCTTACTGCTAGGATCTACTGAGATTTTGCCTCACCATCCCAATGATTTGTTACCTCCTTTCTAACTTCCAGCTCTCGAGTGAACTCTAAAAATCCAGCCTATGTGTCTCTAACACTTAGTCAAATTGGACCGATCCTACTATTGGGTGACTTCTGCAACCTTCCATCCCACTTCACTTCGGGGTGGCTTTTTCAACCTTCCTGTGACACAGCCTCTAGTCCAGAGTGACTTTCTTTGCGTTTTTGCAGCTCTTCTGTCCTACTGTCTTCATGTTTGTTTTGTTTTGTTTTTTCTTTTTTGCAATTGTGCTAGTTCTAGGTGGTTGATGGGAGCTTGTTGGCATTGGGATTAGCATATTGAAATGCAAGGTGGCAACTTTGGGTATGAAGTTAGGAGTTCAGACTTTAGTCATGAAACTTAGGATTCAAGACTTAGGATACAAAACACAAGGTTTAGGATTTGATGTTGAGTTTTTAGAATTCAAATGTAAATACATTTTTTTGTATTGCATTGTGATAATAAACAAAAAATAATAATCAAATAAGAGCGTGGCAGAGTCCATGTGGCACAATCTATTTGGCATAAGTTTAGGACCTAGGATTGAAACAAAGAGTTCAAACATAAACACAAACCTAAACAAGCAAGCATGAAAATGTGAAGAACAATGGATTTCAGATTTGTAAAGGAAAAATAAATGCAAGAACCATTCATCCATCTAACAAGCAATTACGAGAACATGGGAAGGAATAAAGAGATAACAATAAAGGGCTATTGATGTGATGTGGTCATACCAAGGCTATTTCACCAAATCCTATCAAAACTTTGAAGTTTAGCACCTTGGGCCGGAATAGTATTAGGATGGGTGACCTTCAGGGAAGTCCCGGTGCTGCATCCATTTTGCATTCACCTGAACCTTTCTCCGACATGGCATCTTCTTCTCCGACTTAGGAGTCCACTTAGCATTGTCATATGACGTGGCAGGCATCTTGTTAACATTGCGTAGTCCACGTGGTATTTCAAAAATAAAAATAAATCAGGAATGTTTGAAATATATAAAGATTATAGATTAAATTCTAATATTATTTTTTTTTCTTATTTTTTTTCTTTTTCCACTTAGGCGGAAGACTGGGCGGCCAGCGAGGAGTCGGGACTTGGGCGGGGGATCGGGACAAGAGGTCGGGACTCGCGACGGGACTGGGATTCGCGCCGCGACTAGGGATTCGGGGAGGAAGTCCAGGACTCGCGCTGGGACGAGGAGTCGCAGCGGGACTGTCAACCTCTTCTGCAGAGAGAGAACATTACAAATTTATCAGGGGGGGTGTTGATTGGCATATGGCATATGTTTGTACGAAGCTCGGGCTGTCACCTCGCTTTTAGATACTCAATTCACAAAGCACATTAGCTGAATCTCTGCACACGGGGATCAGTACGATACGATAAAAGTATAGGAATGTAGATGCAGTACATACCATTAGCATACAGTGAATGAAGGAAGAAACATTATCGCAACAAACATTTACTTTCTTCCGCCTTTGTTTCCTGGTCTAATTATTGATCAGTGAAAAGTTCATGTTCTATGTCGGCTGTTTATGAAATTGGAAAGTCGCAAGGCCTGTTCCAAAAGAAACTCTTCACAGTTCGCAACGAATATCTTTGGTGCGGAATGAAACAATCGCCATTCCATTTCTTCTGGGCGACTGTTGTCACAACAACTGCACTGTGATAACATTCTACAGTCTGCAAGTTTGCTCCAACTTTTCTACATTCTTGTTAATAGATCTTAGTTGCGTTCAGTGGTTAGAACTGATTAGTACACTCCTATGGCCCTTCAGAGGTCCATTCAATGAAAGGGCTTATAAAGGATATCATGTGGGGATTGTACAACCTCATATCATTTGCATTAGTCTAAAAGAATTACCTTCCGGTGCTAATTGTAACCAAATAAGAAATTGAAAATCACTCAGGATTCAACTTGGAGGCGAGACTCATGGACGTTGCTGACTTAAACTGGAAACAGGTGCATGCAGAAAATCTGCAAACCAAATTTGCATGCCAAAACACAGCGATTACACTTCAAAAAAAAATGACGACTGGATAAGTGCTCCATGCGACCTTCGAAGTCCATACCTATGCACATAACCAGTTTCACTGACCAGATAGGATTTCAGAGAATTGCTAGTGTACGATGGCCGTGAAAGGCACCTGCAACAGGTTGAATAAAAGCAGCCAGCTGCAATCAAGAAGAAGCAATATACACATCCTATTGAACTCTAAGTTTCTATCTAAAACATAACACACGCATATCACTCAGTTATGATGAAAAAATCCAATCAACCAGAAGACCTCACTATTGACGACCCGGAAGACTAAGAGTTGAAAATATCGTCCCACCACCCTAGTGCTTTAGAATTCTAAAATCCATTCTTCAAAGGCCTGGCTGGAAATTGCACTGGTATCAATACTCCGTTGTCCAATCAGCAGACCTTGCATGTGCGGGAGTGATGAAGCTTGAGATATCATCATCGCTCTTCTGCTGCACCAACTACTTCGGTCAACTTACGTAGCTCAGGGTCCGCCGAGGTCTTGGAGGCGAGACTCATGGACGGAGTGCTTGGTTATAAAAGGCTACGTCTCCGTCCTAGCCAGGAATTTCACACAGGTCCACAAACCAAAATTCCTGAATCCTTGCCACAGGCTGGCGAAAAAAACTTCGACTTCCAAAAGTCACTTGTCTCAGCGTTCTTCGTCGACAATCGAGTAAGCACACAAATATCTTCATCCAAATTGTAAGTTTGAAGGCCCAATAGTCGAGCAATCCCAACTGCAACTCGACGTCAGGTGGCAACTGCAGTATGTTCAGACCCACTGACCACTAAGTTGTTGCCATTCGAACCACCATCTTCAGATTCACTTCCACCAGGCAGTGTGTGAAATGCAGACGAGTGAAAAGATTGTGGCGGATGAAGATTAAGATAAGCATTGTTCTGACCATGTTGCATCATGGATGTGTGATAATTTACATTGTCTCCTTGTCCACCTAGCATGCCCATTCCTGAATGTGATGCTCGAGTGCTAGAAACATTTGCCGCTTGTGAAGACTGCCCCTCATGAGATCCATGGCTTCCATCAGAATTTGCTTTCGATTCTCCATCTTTTGTTTTGGTATTTAAAAATCGACCTCCGTTACCCCTTGCTCTTCGCAAAGCGTGCTGATGCCGGGATTCATGTAGATACGGCTGAAGATAGCAGATAATCAAGACACAAATTAAGAACTCCGAGCTTTCAGTTAAAAATATCAGAGGGCTAACCAAGTGACATTCGAAACCTAACTATATCACCAAGTCAAAGGAGTCATGTGGTGACTTCTTAGAAACCGATTTTTAGAAGTGCCTACAGAACTAAACAGGTGATTGATAGATCATGGCAGAGATGCACAGTGGAGCCTGTAACTTCTTTTGTTCCATGAATGTGTCTATCTAATCCTCACAAAGGAAAAATAATTTGAAGTGAAGAAGGAGAAGAATCCCGGAAAACCAAGGGATGACTACAAGAAAAGAATGACTACATCTAACAACGCAAATCGCTAAAAACTGAGAATACATAATCGAATTCAGAAAAAAATAATGCAATCAAGGGATCAACAAGAGAGTCTGCACTCATCAAAAACTGAGAGTGTACCTTACGAGACTTTATAAGTTTATTTTCCGATTCTGCTTTAGCTCGCGACTGCCTACGTCGCAAGATCCCGTGATATTGCTTGGCATTTACATACACAGGCTCTTCCTCCATCATCTCTGACGGGAGAGGCATTCGTGCTTGTTGAACTCCCAGCATATGGGGATGAATCTGTATCCGCCCACGATAGAAACAACCTTAAAACTCGGACGCCAAACACTCATACCGGTAAGAGAAGAAATATGTAAGATAACTGGAATTTTGCCAAGGAAATTGGTGTAAAATGAAAAAGTGAAAGTTGCTCACCACTGCTTGAGCGCCATAGGCGGCAACAATACCTCCAAAATATGGGTCTGCAAATGGATATGCCGCACGTGCCTGCGCCTAACATGACAGTCGTTGGTAACACTATTTCCACCGAAAAGCGAATAGTATACTGATCGCAACATGTTGACTATCGAACCTAGTCAGCGTCTATTAAAATCAGACCAAACGGCAATAAGGTAACAATTGATCTGCCCAGTTATTCGACAGCATTCGAAACTGTATATACAAACCGCCTTTCTTAAATCGACTACACTTGTTAACAAGTAAAATGGAAGCCTTGCACCGCGCAAGTTCCAACGAACTTGCAACCACTATACAGAACTACAGGTCCGGGTGCTCACCATGGAGTGACCAAGCTCAAGCTGCGTGTGCGGTAGAAGATAGTCCCCCGTTGCAGGTACGCCAGTAGGAGGACGCGGCGGCTGGTCATCCGCTCCAGAAGTTGCGTAACCTATAAATCAACACGACCGTACACAACTTCGAGTTAACACCAATTGTGTGTCCGCAATGAAAAATTTGCTCTTTGGCATGAAAAACTGGACTTTTATACGCAAGAGAACCTTGTGAAAAGGCAGTTTGACAATTTCTATGTGCCTATTACCTATTGGTAGACTGGGTAGTTAAGATAAGTAATTTACCCTAACTATCTTGGATGACAGAATAATCCGACAAGGAGTAGCCTACCATGACACTCTCGGATTTGCCCACACCACCATATCCACACCAGCACATCCACAAAGCGTGATCACAGACCCTGATACTAGATGGCTGACGATCAAGTCACGTACATTTTAGTTCCCTATCTTCTGGAAAGCATACGCCAATTGAATGGCCGATGACTACCTCACAGGAAAAGCTCATAGACAAGCGAAAGAGACGACGGAAACTCGGTTCAGAACGAGGGACAACGTGCACATAAAATAGATACTAGATTCAAACAAAAAAAAATCAAAACGAACAACAAACAACAAAGACTAGAAGCTAAACATATTCGACATGTTAAAGGCAGCCACAAATCAAATCTACCGACCAAGCGCAGATTATTCATAACGCCGTAACCCATATATTACTGGCCGAATCGTTTGATGGGTTCACACCGTTGGGTTCTGCAAGGCAAAGGAACGCACCAGGTTGAGGCAAGGCCTGCATCGTTGGAAGCGCAGACTCAGTGACAGCTGGGGCTGACGAGGGCGCCTGCATAAAGATTATAACAAAGCTACTTTAGAGCTGGTCGCTCGATCCAAAGCCCCACTCTCACACCGTAGCTCCGTTTTCCTGCGGTGTGCTCGTCGGCGAATCTGATTCGCAAATTACATTCAGAAAACCCTACATTGATTTCCTTCTCTGACCACTGCAAGCTGGTTCAGAATGTTCAAACACAAGAAAAACTGGTGTTTCTTAGCGCGAAAACAGCCTGGCCTCGCAGATTCGGCAAACCTCCGACAGTGCACAATCATCCAGCTTCGCAGCAGCTGATGACCGCCTCCACGACATTGTAAACCCCTATCTTTTCTCCACTACACCAGGTCGGCCAGTGCCACCGACTCAGAAACGGTATCTTCTTGTCAGAGAACGCACTCCAAATCCTCCCACTGATATATTCTAAGTACAATGCATGATTGTGGCCGACACAGCACCATCAACGCGATTCCACAATCTAAACGACGTGTCCAGCCTCAATACAACATCCCACTTCGTGAGTCCGCAACCGCACAGCCGTCCTCGGCCAACTTCAAAATCACAACCGCACCACCACCTTTCAAGGTCATCGATCGAACTCCAAGACAGGAGCGGACGTCGCCCGCCCGGCCGACCTAAAGTACAAACACAACCCAAACACAATCAATCGTCACAAACCGTGTGCACGAAGACACGCACTAAAACCAACACAACTCACTGCAGTCGAGCCATCCTCCTCCACCACCACAACCGGCCAACCTAACACGACTAATCTCGCAGAATTCAACCCCAAGCACGCGGGAGTCACTGGACAGGAATATCATCCCAACCCTGGCACGGGCACGAGAAAGGATAGTGGCCCTCGCTCTCCCTGACGCCCTCCCCTCCTGTTCCCACACGGAAAAGGTGCATGCCGGACTTCGAAGAGGCACCACGGGCTTCGAAGCGGAAACTAGGAACGTCATGAAACCTCCAACTAACACGCGATGCAGAGACCAAAGGCCACAAGCAACAGAGCATCTCTTCTTCTTCTTCCCTATCCCCTTCCCCTTCCCCTTCCCCTCCCCGTCCCATCACCTCTCCCCTAAAGAAAGACAACAAACAAACGAAGCGCTCACCTCAACGCAGCGACTGGTTCGCAGAGATGCCTACGACAAGATATGCTCTCTTGTCGAGAAATAGTGAGGTAGAGACAGATAGGCAGACAGACAGTTAGATAAATAGATAGATGCTGGATGATGATACCAAAGAGGATGGTGATGCAAAGAAAGACGATGAAGAGATAGCCGCAGAAGAAGTAGTAGTAGTAGTAGTAGTAGAAGAACAACAACAACAAGCGGGACAGGCTTCTGCTTCTGCTTCAGCAACACCAGGCGGCAGAAAAGCAGACAGTGCAGTGCAGTGCGGAACCAGGGCAGGGCCAGGGGCAGGGCGACGAGGGCAAGCGCCCAACAACAACAACAACAACAGAGGAAGGAAGGAAGGAAGAAAGGGCTACTCACTCTCACTGACACACATCCACGGCAGGAAACACACAGAAGCTCTACAACGGGTTAACGCGGACCGGCACGGGCGGGGTGGCTGGGGGGGGGGGGGGGGGGGGGAGAGAAGAGAACGGGTCGGGCACGGGCCGGGCCGGGAGGGGGTGGGGGTGGGGGTGGGTGCCTCGTAGGATTGGCTAAACAGATAAGACCTTACGCACCCGGCCCTGCCCTACTTTATTGGCCCGCTGCAGCTACTCGACCCCACCCAGCCTACCCCGCTGGACTGTATAGGGGGCATCTGTCGAAAATCCAGCCAATTGATTGAGCCCATCCCCGGCCCATATTCCCATCGTCCTCGTCCTACTTTCGTCTTTCTTCCGTCCGTTCGATCGCCCATTCGTTCGTTCGTCCCCATTTTTTCGTTCGGCTTCTTCGTCCCATTCGGTTAGCCATCTTGCCATGCCTTGGGCTCCGAACCTCCCGCGCCGAGCCTGGGCCATGGGCTTAGCTGTGGGAGCTCTTTCACAACCCTAAGGGGGGCCTCTATCGTTCTATATTTATACTAATAAAAGGTATAAGTTAGTATAGATAGATAAATAGATTTTTATATATTAATGTGTGTGTGTGTGTGTGTGTGTGGATATATCTATTTCTTTTTTTACTTTCTTTCTTTTTTTCCCTTCTTTTTGGAGTTTCAAATAATGCATTACAACTGAGTGTACTGGAGAATGCATTGATTTAAATATAATTTCATGCAAATTTTTGGAGAGAAAATTTTAAGAAATTAAAATGTATTATATCCATCATAATATATAATTTAGTATTTTGGTTTTTTTTTTTTTTTTAATCTGCTTTTCATTGGTTGCCGCTCTTGTTGACTAGTTCAAGTTTATTGAAAATTATTTCAATGCAATGATTGTTTGTTTACTCACATGAAAAAACTCCATTTGGAGGCTATTCATGAACCAGAATTTTTATTTTCTTTTTTTCATGCACAATAATCTTTTTATCTATGTTTTTTTTTTTTTTATTGTGATTTGTGAATTTTCTTTGACGATTAGTTCTATTGGTTTTTGCTAATGCTGCTTCGGATGATTATAAGTTTATATTTGTGTGTTTTGGAAAGGCCATGCACACACTTAGTTAGCATCCAATAAAATTATAGATTCTATTAATGTAAATTTATAAATACCTTTTTTATTTTTTTATTTTAACAATGTTAGCTAAGTAACATAAGATGGAGTACAAAATTGTACAATCGTATTTTGCAATCTAACCACGTATGGTGGTGTAACATCTCTAGTATATACCATCCTAGAAAACACAGCCTATTTATAGCACATACTAATATATGTATAGTCTTTAATGTACCTTACTAATGATTGAGCCACATGGCATTCTAATTTATATATAATCATTTCATAAACTTACTTCTATATAATAATAATTGGCACCGAAATTCCAATACTACATATTTATTTGTAATGTCTACATGTGGTGCCTTACAAGACTACAAAAAAGTAAAATAAATAATAAATCATTGTCTAATCATTCTTAAATTTGTTAATTGACTTCCAAACTACAAAAAAACAAAAAAAAAAATTAATAAATAACTGTGTGTTTTTTAAAAAATGCCTCATTTGAATATGATGCACTATCTGTACAATTTTTTGAGGTCATACCCAAAAATATTCATTTTGATATTGTTATGTTATACTAGTTTGTGTATGCCATGTTGATGCTAACAATTTTTTGGGATTTATATTATTTTCTAACCTCATGATACCAAACTTACCTCAAAATACTTGGCTAATCAAAGTATAAGAACGGACGTCATACTTCAGTTTTTAAAATTCAACAATCCAGAAAAAAAGATGATTACAAAGTCATGTTTAGATTAGATTTTCTTATGTAACATGAAAATTAAGGGCGTTGTCAAAAGGTCTTTAAAAATTAGATCTTAAATTGAATGGTAACTCCTATTCTATGATGCCATTATAAAGTAGCAATATATATATATATATATATATATATATATCAACTTAGCATCATCATCATTATTATTATTATTATACTCCAGTAGCTTAGCTACCATTAAGTGTGACGACCAATAATAATAATAGTAATGCATAAAGATGGTAAATTAAAATAGTACAAACTCTTATGGCACAGTACAAGCCATGGGTATTAGTATACTATCCAAATTCGTGAATATAAAGGAATATTGTAACAAGCTTGTAAAAAAAATGTTTGTCTCTGTGTTGAAAATTTTAATTAATGTGGTACAAAAATTAAGTAAAATTCGGAAAGAAGAATAAAAAAATGGATGGATGTATGAGCAAAGCTATGAACTTGCATTTATTGCTATTTGGTATAAATGCAAGTTGCCAGTATTATAATGGCACTAATGTTGTCCAAATCGAGAAAAGAAAATAAATAAAAGAATAAATCTACAAAAGTAGTTGACAAAGTCTTTGCAACTTGGAGAGCTCAATATTAATAGGGTCTACAAAAATAGTTACTTTGTGCTCCATGAAACTTGAAGGCCATACAATCTTTAAACTTTGCTTTGGAGTATTTGCATTTTCTATGTTACAATTTAAAAACAAGGAGGGGGTATTATGTGTAGGAGAAGAGGTTTTATTAAGCTATTATTGGATCTTTTCCAAAAATAATATAAACTAGGAACTAAGAAAGAAATGTTGAAATATAGATGTTAAACTAACTATGTGTGTGTGTGTGTATATATATATATACATACATATACAACTATACAGCTTCTTTGAAACTGTTTAATTGTCTTTTTACAAGTTCCAAAACGCAAAATAAATTTTTATGTGAATACCATCAAGTTGTTTAAATACAAATATGTAATTTGTCTTACTATTCATGTCGGTATTTATTAAACTAAAGGTTATAATGGAACGCATGGATGCAATGCAGTGACACTATTTTAGTTTATAAAAACATGAAATAAGATAGATTATTTTTAAAACGTTTCAAACTGTTTTCAAATGCTATTCTGTGAACATTTCACTCAAATAGAATACAACTTTTCTATAAAGAATGGATGTAGTGTTGAAAAACCATCTATACATAGAAATGCACACTATATACAGGTTAACATCCTTAGCAACCTTTGTGGAGTCTACATTTTATTTCCAACACACACATATATATATATATATATATATATATATAATCAACAAAGCCATTAACAAGTTCAAGTGTATGAAAGTTTTTCTTTAACATATTAAAACAATGATCAAAATTATGTTTTTGGAACTTTATATATATATATATATATATATATTTGAAGTAGCTTATGTTGAAGTCAACTATATTACCAGTTCTCATTGAAAATTTGTCTTGCACATTATCCATATAAACTGCTCAAATTTCAAGACATGTCTTTCATCATGTACATGATTTATAACATGCAATTATTTTTCTTTTAATCCAATTGTCTTTAATGTTGCAACTGTAACTTCATGTGGCACTATTAAATTGGCTTTCTAGGCAAGCAGATCATGTAAAGTCATTATGGAACCCTCATTACACTTGATTTTGTTTTCACAACTCATAAAATTGCACACTTATTTATTGAAACTCAATATTTTTTAAATAAGCATGAGAACTTTTCTATGCAGAAGTCTGGTGTTGGCATTTGGGAAACAATTCAGCACTACTACAAACTCATAACCATACTTAAAAAGTAGTTCATGCTACTAGACATATTCATTCTTTTTTCATTTTAGTATTTGCATGATTTTAAGTTTGTATCGGAGGATAATATATTATAATTATAGTATATATCTCTCTCTCTCTCTCTCTCTCTCTCTCTCTCTATATATATATATATATATATATATGTGCTTTGTTTGCCACCATGGTACCCAAGGAATTTCATAAATATTTGGTGAACTAATACAAATATCACGCATATGCAAACAACATTCATTTTCACAGATAAATTATTTAATCATGGTTGTGTACCATTCAACCACTTATATGATAAAATGATAAAATCAACTAGGATACAAACAACATACTGGGAAAATAAAATTATATGCTATATATATATATATATATATATATATATATATATATTTGTATATAAAACCTTGTATGATTATAATACCCAAATTTTAATACACATAGTGATGTTTGTAAGACTATTTCTATAAATAAGAAAACATAATTAAAAAAAATCTTTAATTGTAAAATCCTAATCTGTGAAATATGCAGTAACTGAAGCTTCTCATAATACTTGTAAAAAGTTAAAGTTTTAATCTTTTTCATAATAAATCTGTATTTTTTCTCTAGAATTTAAAATTGGTTTTGGTAATATTCAAAAAGAGACGTATCAATGGATGTTTTACACAATCTTATCAAATTATGTAACAATAATATAATTATTCCATTTGAATAGATTAATTTTTCTAATAAATATCTATTTTTTCTACTATTGTGGATAAAATTCAAATTATATTAAATTGAAGAATGCAAAATCAAGCTCAACAATAGTTTTAGGATCACTGTTAAACTTTCAAAAAGGTACAACAATTCCATGTTGTTCAAATGTAGAGGATTAAAATTTGTTCCCAAAATAAATCAAATTTGATCACATAATCATTTACTAATAAAAGCATAGTAGTTATCAATTATAAGTAACATGTTTTTTTTGTTTTAACAACAACACGTGTGTAAGTGCTAATTTCAATTTTTTTTCTTAATATGACTTTTATTGTGCAATGAGGTACAATTTAATACTA